CCCCCCCCCTTCCGCCTTTTCCACAAAAAAAATATATATGCCCTCTGGCCGTCGTTGAGGGACGATAGCGCGCCTGCCTCCCCCTCCTCCGTCATGGATTTCGATTCTAATTTGCAGAAAATTGTGTACAGCCGTCGCGAGTGACGTTTTTATTGGCACCCTCCTGGGCCTTATAAGTAGTATAGTACCGCTTTGAGGACCCCTCTGCCACCTCTCCCCTCTCCCGCACCTTTTCTGCCACCACACCTCCCGCCACACCTTGCGAACTCTCTGCAGTCGTCTGCGCAGCTCCCTCCTCTGATTGTGGGTCACAATGTAAGATTTGTAATGGATCGAGAGAAGAAAATAAAACTTGGGACGGAGGGGGGGGGGGTATGCCATAAGATTTGAAAACTTGTGTATAGCGTCGTCATTTTCAATTGATGGAGGTACCTTTTCCACAGCAGCCACTTAATTCGAATTCGTTTAAACTTCAAGTTGAAAAATTGAAGAGGCCATAAGACATGCCCATAAGTAACGCTTATTTTCCTAAAGGTAAATTATGGCGCCTGAAAAGCTTCTTTCGATCGGCCCCAATTCAAGGAAAAGTCAATAAGGACATACATTTTTGAAAGAGTTTGTCATTTGAGTGCCTCTATAATAGATTATCGTCTGAGATGGCCTGGCTGTAAGTCGGAGCCCCTAGTCGTTGGCGTGGCGTGTGTGCTTCGAGTGTTTGCACGGTACATATTTACTGACGCAAACACCGCTGGCCACGGCCGAGGCTGCTGCTGGCACGCCCCGGGACGTGTTTTGTTTTCCTTTATTATTCTCCCCCCGTCGCCCATAGTCGGCCAGCAGCGGCTGGCGACGGAGGTAGTTTAGTAGCGATATCCTCCTCCTCCTCCTCCCCTTCTCTATCTCTCACTCCCTCTCTCTCTCTCTCACCGACACTCTTCTCTGTCTCGCTCTCACTCCCGCCTCTTCTTCTTGTCCCTCTCTCGCCATCAATCATGGCCTCTCATCGGCTACCTGCTCGCGCCGGCCTCACCTTCCAGGAATTCACTGCCCCCCTACGGACAGCGGCTGTTGAGTGTCCCTTCTATTCACGTATCGACGCCCCTCCCCCCTCTCCGCCCCTCCGCCGCTCCCAGAGGCCCCCGCTATAACAAGAATAATTTATTCTTTCCCAGATCCACACTTTCGTGGTAAACACCTTGCCTCCTCGCCACGCTGGACCGTCGACGCCGACGCCCGACGCCGATACACACCGGCCCAGTCCCCCCCCCCCCCCCCCCCCCCGGGGGGGGGGGGGGGGGGGGGGGCTAAAAGATGAGGTAGATTTTCTGCCTCATTGGCTCATTAGCTGGCCTAGAGACGGCGTGTCGCAGCTGCGCGGCCCTCCCCCCGATCACTATCGGCCGAGGTTCGACAAGAGGATTATTTTGGCTTCCCCTCCTACTACTCCGAGTGGGATAAGTAAGTCCGGGGAGCAAGTGCATAGAGAGACGAGCATGCGTGGGAGGAATGGAGAGGGGCGGAGGGGGCGGGATTACGAGAGGTGACCTTGAAACTCGACACCTGAGGCGGAAAAACAAACACCGTAAAATGAGGTGCCGACCTAACGTAAAATAGGAGCCATTACCTGAAAACCTGTCGTCGTCGGACAAGAGAGCGAGCAGATAGAGAGCGTGAGAGAGAGAGGGACAGAGATGGAGATGGGCGGGCAAGAAACACTCAACTCACCGTTGCCTTGGGGGTAGAGCCGGAGCAGCACACCGGAGGGGTCAAACTTGAGGACGCGAGCGTTGCAGTAGCCGTCGGCGACGAACACCTCTCCGGTGGAGGCCACGGCCACGTCCGTCGGCATGCAGAGCTGGTGCTTGCCCGGCCCGGGGGTGAACTCCTGGCCTAGGGTGAGGTTGGGCTTGGTGGAGCCCGGTGCGAACTGCAACAACGTCCTCGTCAGCGACAAACAGCACACATCGTATATCGGTTGAGAATACTACGTACAGCGCGACGCATGACCCACCTTGAAGACCTGGTGCAGGGCGACGTCTGTGAGCCAAGTGTTGCCACGGTTGTCGATGGTGATGGAGTGCGGCATGAAGAACAGGTCGCGGCCCCAACCGGTCAGAACGTCGCCGTTGTCGGGATCCAGGGTGAGCACCGTGTCCTCCGGGATGGGACCTTCGTCAACGAACTGGAAGTGGTGCGAGTCGTTGAAGGACCTGCGCGCGGACGGGTAGAAAGAGTTAGTGTCGGGAGATCGAGCAGACCACTCTCAAATTTCTGAATATTAAATAATACGTACTTGCTGTCGAACACCCTGGCGCCGCGGTGGAACACGACAGGGAAGCCGTTGAGCGCGACGGCCACGCCGGCCACCTGCCCGAGCGGGGGCGGCCCGTGCAGCGGCCAGCTGGGCACGAGGCGGGGGTGGGCGGGGGCGGGGGCGGCGCCGAGCTCGGCCAGGCAAGGGACGGCCTCATCGCGCTGCCGAACACAGATAAAGTCAACTTACAACCAGGGTTCAACCGACGACGCCTGTTGCCGACCTGACCGCGCTTGCCGCAGCCCCGTTCAAAAGGCGGGCGGCGAGCGCGCCACGGCCGATGTGCGCAGTGACGCGGCCGGGCCGGCGCGCAGGCCCCGAGCCTGGCCATATGTTTACCCGCGCGGTCACGGCCCTCGCTGGCCCTGGGGACCCGGGGCCACGGCGTGGCAAGGCCTCCGCCGTGGAGCCCGCGAGCTCCCGAGGGCAGGGCCTGGCACAGTCCCCTACAAGGGGCGCCGAGGTGGCACCGAGGTGCGGCCCAGGGCACACTCACCTGGTGCAAGGCTCGCTGCATCAGCTCCCGGATCTCCGAGTACAGCTCCGAGCTGAGGTCGTGGACGTGGTTGATGGAGCGGGCCTCGGTGGCGTCCCTGGCGGCCAGCAGCAGCAGCGCCAGCGCCAGGGGCAGCAGGGGCGCCGCCAGCCCCGCGCCCAGGCCCCAGCGCCGTCTCCTCGCCATCTTTGTTTTCCTGCTGCCTGCGCACGGCGCGCACGGCCTTTCTCCCTTTCCCCGAGCTTCGCGGTCACGCCGCCGCCCCGCCGCGGCGCTACGGGCGTCGCCACCCCCCTGCGGGTCGCGCATGCGTCCCCCCCGCGCGCCGGATGCGCCGCCCGACTGGTGGCGCCACCTCCGAGGCCACCACTTTGCCCTCGTTAGGGTCTGCGTCGCGTCGGGTCGCAGGGGGAGGGGGGCCGGGGGGCCCCGGGCCGGGCGGCCGCGAAGTGTCACCGTAAGGGGGGTGAGTGAGCGCCACGCCACCCCCGGGCTGGGCCTCTTCATTTAGGGTCGCACCCTGACCCCCACACCCCAGCCTACCCTAATCCCCCCCCGCCCTCGACAACAGGTCCAACCCTTCCGCGTGGCGCGGGGGCGCGGGGGCGAGCCGCTGATTATGTCGTGGCTGTGCTCTATGCAGCGCACCTCTCTGCTCTGCTCTCCGTGAAGCGCCCGCGTATCCGGAGCGGGCCGCACCAGTGCACGGGTGCAGGAGGGGTTGCCTACCTGACGGCGCTACCTCGCGCTACTGCTCGGCGGCGGCGGTCTTCTTCAAACTTCAAAAAAAGGGTTATTACGACGGCTTGTCCAACTGAACTGGTGCCTCGTGTAAAATAGGTTCGGAGATGGAAAAAAAGCAATAAACACCATAGCTCAGTTTTATTTCATGAGTGGACAGATTTCTTTCCCTGCCACTCGCAGTACAATAACTTACAAAAGTATTGCATCGAAAATTTAATTATATGTCTTTAAAGGACTTGAATATGGAGGCGCACTAAGTTCTATCCGTGAAACTGGTCACTTTTAAGATTCAGTTCTAGAGTCCTTGAAATTCTTAACAATTTCTTCGTGACTTACAAAGTGGCTTTGGATCAGCCTGGCAGTAAGGGGCAGTGCATGTACTTCTCAAACACCGAACACAATCATTGCTCTCGCTCTCACTCTCTTCTCCGACTCCGCGCTCATGTCCTCTCCCTCCCCCCTCTCTCTCTTTCTCTATCACGCTCTCTCGCTCGGTCTTCCTCCCTCAGACATTCTCTTCCTCCCTCAGGTCCCCGCCGCCGCCGCCGCCGCGGGGGCGGCTGCAGCCGCGGCCGCAGACGAGCCACCCCAGCCGGGCTGCGTCCAGATGTACCCCGTGCCGGTGACGGTGCAGTACGCGTTGTAATAGCGGCCCGGCGAGCGGCAGTAGGACCACTGGGGGCACTTGCACCGGAACTGCGTCTGGAACTCCTCCTTGCATATCTCGTTCCACCAGCACGCCCGCTGCAACGCACAGAGACACACGCCACCCCGTCAGTCTGCGTCAGCCTGCAGCTCCATATCGACCGGCCCCTGGCGCCGCTGCAGCGCGGGGCTGCAGGGCCCGCAGGGGGGCGCGGCAGGGGCGGGGGCTCACCTCCGTCAGATAGCCCCGCACGGATTGATCGTTGAAACTGCGCTTGACGATGGCCGCCGCCTCCGCGGAGGGGGTGATGCTGGCGGTGCTCAGGAGCAGCAGCAGCAGCGGGGGCAGCAGCAACAGGGCCGTCCCCGGACCGCCGCCGCCACCGCCCCACGGGTGCCGCCACCCCCACCCACCACGCCGCTGCGGCCCCTGCAAAACATTGCGGCAATGCATGAGAGCGCGGACTTGGCGTCGTAGACATGAGGCGCGGCAAGGCGTGCAGGAGCTTCCGCGAGCTTCCCTCACCTGAGGAGGGACCTGACCAGCGCCCCCTGGCCCCGGTGGCGGGACACCCCCCGGTCCACCCACCGGCGCCTCCACCGGCTCGTCCTCCGGTGCGAAGTCTCCCGGATCAGACCCCATGGCGCCCCGGCCCTCGCCCCGCCCGCCACAAAGTCCGACGCGCTGCGGCTCGGCTGTGACCCGACGCGATCCTGGGGCCCGCGGCCTTCTCCGCACTGCGCCTTGGAGAGGTGCCGACTGGGGACTGGGCGCCAGGCTGGGGGCGGAGAGGGGTGGCCGCCAGCATCATGGACCGTCTCCCTCCCCCCGCGGCCCCCGGCGCCGTGGAGGGGGAGGGTTGCGTGTCACTCGTATTGGCCCGGGCAGCATCCGGCCGGGGGTGGTCCGCGCCGCGTCGCTAGGCAACCCGGCAGGCAGCGCGGCGGGGGCACAGCGCGCGCGCGGCGTCCCGCACCCCACCGACCCGGGGCTCGCGCGCTCGCAGGGTGGGGCCGGGTCGGCGGGGCGGGTCTCCGGGGCGCGGAGTGCGGCGCGCGGACTGTACCCAGGGAGCAGTGCCGGGCTACGGGCTCGGACGGACGCTGAGCCGCCCAGTCCACCCCTAGCGTGGGGCTCGCAGGGCAGAGAGAGAGAGAGGGGCGCGGGGCTTGCTGCAGAGAGCCTGCTGACGCGCGGCCCGGTCGGCGTGGCCTAGGAGGCTCTCCACCTCTCCAGGATGGCGTCCGGCCCCGTCGACATAGACGACGTGCAGTTCGAGTCGGGCGACTCCGGGGCGTCGGCCACCTACCCGCTGCAGTGCTCGGCGCTCCGCAAGAACGGCTTTGTGATGCTCAAGGGCCGTCCCTGCAAGGTGGTGGAGATGTCCACGTCCAAGACGGGCAAGCACGGCCACGCCAAGGTGCACCTCGTGGGCATCGACATCTTCACGGGCCGCAAGTACGAGGACATCTGCCCCTCGACGCACAACATGGACGTGCCCAACGTCAAGCGTGAGGAGTACCAGCTCACCGACATCTCGGACGACGGCTACCTCTCGCTCATGTCGGACGGGGGCGAGCTGCGCGAGGACCTCAAGATCCCCGAGGGCGAGCTGGGCGTGCAGCTCAAGACCGAGTTCGACGCAGGCAAGGAGCTGCTGTGCACCGTGATGACGGCGGTCGGCGAGGAGTGCGTCATCGGCATCAAGCACAACACCAACATCAAGCCAATGTGAGCGCGAAGAGATGGGCAGAGATCCCTCAGCGGAATTCTCAGCACAGAGCGTACGCCTTCACAGGAATCGTACCTTTGTACCTTTCAAAAGTCTTGTTATGTCTTTCACGTCCCATTCATCAGCAATACTTGTTCGTTTTCAATAATTTTTTTGTTTGTTAATGGAATGTTACTCCATTTGTGTCTGGACTGAATTAAACCTTGACTGCTTTCCCTCCAAAGCCTAAAATCATACATATATATGTATACGTATAAGTAATCAAATCTCTTATAGCGGCTGCAAAGAATGTATCAAAGAAGTTTTAAATGAAGCTTGTTTCATCATTACGAGGGCACAATTTCCTAATTTAATAAGATTATCAACAAGATGACAGTGAGACTAATGTAGTGATTTGGCGGGGACTTTTTTTTAAAGTGGAAAATTCAAAAATATTTTAGATTTGTCTATTGAAAGAGGTGAGTAAATTCCTGGAGCTACGTCTAATCAGTGCCAAATTAACCAAGAATATCACATGAATCATTTTCTCAGGAAAACTGAGTCTACTTTCTTAGAATTATGGAAATACTAAATACCTTACTGAAATTTTGATCAGAATTGGACCAGAGTTGGATGAGAGTTATAAAAAACTGGAAAGAACCTTATCACTAAAGAGATGTATATTTCACAACCATTGCCAATTTTTGCTTCTATTTGAGAAAGAAAAAAGGATTTTAAATACAGTACACAGTTTCCGTAATCCATAATGAGAATTAATTTGAATGAGTTAAAATTTAATAGAGGCGAATGAATAATGTTCAGACATTCAACTATTAACCTAACCTTCACAAATAAATAAATTAAAAAACGTTTTTTCACAGGGGCAAATCCAAATTAACTATTATTTAATAAAGAAGAGTTCGACTAAATGTCAACAAGGGATTAGGCCCTCGAATAGATCCATCTTGTTGGAGATTGTTGTACCACCTCGACAAGTGCACAAACTGCTCTTTTTCTTGGAATGTAAGGCTAACCTGCAATAAATATAAAACCGTAATTGTTAGCAAATAAACGAGATGATATGGCATATGAGAGTGAATGTTTTTTTCGTTTTTAATCCTATCACCAGTATATGATAAACACTCACAACAACTTGATGCAGCAGGTGATATAAAACAATATCAGCCAAGGAACGGAAGTTGCCAGCCACAAATGTACGCTCTGATAAGTTAGTATTGATGTCCTAGAGGGGAAAGAAGAGCAAAGATGGTAAGTGAATGATAAAATGAATGATTCTCACAGCTCAACAACTTTGACAGTAGTAAGTCACATATTTTTGAGATCTACTCCATACCTTCAGCACTTGTCTTGACACATTTGGAACATCGACATAATTCGCAGTTGAAACAGCGTACTCTAACCATTGTCGAACAACGGCTTGATCTTCCGGAGAATCCCCAAGAAGATGTAGCTGCTTACTCTTCTTTGCAAGCATAACTAAGCTGGCGCAAAATCCGGGCAAACTCCCATCATGAGTTTTATTCAAACTGTATACCTTTAAAATATCAGCCTCGTTGTATTTTTTGACATTTATACTTTCATCAAGACTTTTACTGATCTTTTTGAAATTCTCAAGATTACACTGAACCATCTTGACAAGTGTTTCTAACCTTACTGCCAACGAGGAGGGACCCAATCAAAATAAAAGTGTTCTAGCACCGCTTGACGTCTCCCAGAAATTGAGAAAAGAGGACACTCATTCTAATGCTGCTCCATTAAATGTAAAATCCTTTCGTTCGTAATCATTTTCTCTTGAAAAACATACCTGAAATTCTTTTTCATGCTTGAAAGCTTAAACCTCAGTATTTGTGACACGGCAAAATTTTTCATAACAGCTGTGATAACAACTGTCGTCCTGCTGTCATTTGAGGATTTGAGGTTGTGGTGATTATTTATGTTATTGTGAAAGCAAAACTCTAGGAAACTAATGTCTTTCGTGTCAGCCAGTTCTCAGTAACAAGCCTGAGCCATTGAAAGCCATGGTCGTAAGGTTCCTCTTATATTTGTCCACCTGTTCTGACATTTGCATCTCGTAAGTGGCGTAAAAAAAGGGTTACATACAATGGGTCCTCCTCCCATCGTCACTGGGGTGTCACCTAAAGAAGGTCCGCCTGGCACCAGAGTTACTGTTCGTGGTGAATTCCTGGGTAAAACACCCCAAGATCTGTGTGGTAGGTTGTTGATTTTACACGAGTTAAATCTCAATTTTTGGTTGGTTGCCATTTTCCATTGGCACTTTTTAATGTCAACTCTTTCCTTAGGTCTCACTATTTGTGGGTGTGACTGCCTGCTCTCTGCAGAATGGAAGTCACCAAACAAAATTATTGCAAGATCTGGACCAGGGAAAGGCAAAGGAGAAATTCTTGTAACAACACGTTCAGGTGGGAGGGGTACATGTACTGTTGAGTTCCGCGGATATCATGAAATGATCGGACCTATGAAAGAAACCGCTGTGTGGGTAGAAGAGGCTCCTCTCCGCAAAATGTGGTGGGGTCGCAGAGGTTTGACACCAACCACATACCAGCATGACGATCCCCTAGGAATATCTATTGAAGGAGTAGAGTAAGTATTACGATTCTCCTTAAAAGTGTGATTACTAAGCTGTCTTTTTTTTTGATATGCATTGAATTCAAATTTCAATAATATTTCTTTCTAAATTAGACAAAAGTTTCCTGAGGAAGGCCTACATAAACTATTTCCTGGAGGATCTGGAGATCTTTCCTCAGAAAATTTTGCAGCTGGCTGGTTTCTTCTTGAAAGACACCATGCTACACCCTTTGATGATCTCCGTGCAGGACTTGCATTCTTAAGACGGAAAGTTGATGGTCAAAAAGAAGGACAACTCTCCTTTATTAAGGTATTTATTGAAGTTTTCCTGTATTTTGTTAAAAAAATCTCTGGTAGACCAAACTACATTTGGGGTGAACTCAATGAGGTATTTAGCCGATACGAAATCGGAAGGAAGAAGAAGCCCTAGAGCCAAACAAACCTTCAATTGTTCGATGAATTCGTCTGCTTAAAACCTGAACAATTGAAGGTTTGTTTGGCTCCAGGGCTTCTTCTTCCTTCCGATTTCGTATCGGCTAAATACCTCATTGTAAAATATTTTCAGTCTAATGTTGGCTCAGTTATGGAGCAAATGGATACTTTAGCTCAATTGAAAGAGCGCTTTGAGGAGGATGTTGAAAAACAGGGTCAGGACCCCACAGTTCGTTTGGAGGGAGCAATCAAAGGTAATAAATAATTTCTGGCTGATAAATGTTCAGTTGTTTTATTTTGGTCATGTAATTGTTTTTTGTTTTTTTTTTGTTTTTTTCAGAATCCATGCTAGAGGCAAATAAATTATTTGAGGACGTACTTACACGGCGTGAGCGCGCTGATGCCACCAGAAGTGCACTAGCAGTTCTCCAAAGATTTCGTTTCTTGTTTGGTCTACCTGGAGCTATTGAAAAAAATATAAAGAAAGGGGATTATGATGCTGTAATTAATGATTATGCTCGTGTCATTAACTTGTTTGGGAACACAGATGTTCCTGTGAGTATAAATTGATTCTTAAATGTTCTACCTCAGTACCTAAGTTTATTGGTTTTTATATTTTAAATGATGAAATGTTTGCAGGTGTTCAAAAAAGTTCTAGCTGAGGTAGAGTTAAGAATAGCCCAGTTGCGCAAACTTCTCCATCATCGTTTAGAAGAGGCTCCCACTTCCCTAGAAGCTCAAAAGAAACTTATAAGGTTTGTTGTAGTATAGTAACAATAAAGTTGAAGTAATTGGAAATCTTTATCTAACTTCCTTCACAATTGTTTTCTACTCTACTCAGAAATTTAGTTCATCTAGAAGAAGGGGGTGATCCAGCCTGGGATGCTATATCTTGCCACTCACGTCATCTGACTACTACCATGATCCATTGTAGAGATACAAACCTTGCCCAAGAACAAGCAGCTTTAGAAGAAGGAGGTTTGTCTATTTTTTCTAGTTTCAACATTTAAAAAAAAATACATATCATTACTTGGTACCAAATTTGTACAAATAAATGTTTACATTTTTTAAGGCAAAACTCCAAAAAGTAGCAAACAAAAAAGCACAAGCTCATCAAATCAAAACTCTGACTGGCAGGTATGTTTAACTGTTGCAAAGGAAATGTAGAGATTTGGTATTGTCAACAGTTCATGTAATCAAATCATTTTAATATTTCCAGACAAGTGTCCCTGCTAGAGTTCTGCTGACTGAAGAATTAGCTGATGCAATATCAGAGCGGTTTCCTGACTTCTGGAAACTAGGGCAGGCATATTTTACTGGAGAGCTGCAAGTTAAAGTTGTTCCTGGCCGACAACAAGATTTTAAGGTAGTACTCAAGGTCTTGACTGTTGTCTTATTGCCTGTTTACAACACAATTAATTTTTGCCGTCTTTTAGAAATTGGTGCTTGCATCCATTTCATTGTTTTCTGGGCTACTTCGTGCTGCTCTAATGCCCCACACTCTTGTGAGGACACCAGCAGCTGAACGAGCTAGCTATGGTGTTTGGCACTCGCGAGGAATGGAGGGTTTAGGTCCCTGGCTACCCCATTGTGTACGAGCACTTCGTCATGCATACTCATCCCTAATTCGTCTTGATTTACCTAGTGAAGCACTTGATATTGTTGCTGGTCTTATATTTGATCTAAGGTATTTAATAATACAACACATTTTGAAATTCAGGTCTTTCTTAATATATTTTTGTTGATGGAGCTAATCTAATCTAATCTTATCTGAACTTTTGCAGAGTACATTGCATGAGCACTCTTTTGAAGCAAGCTGGAGAATCAATTCGAAATTTGCACACTCAAGAATCATGGAACATTCAGTTTGATGGTGAACATGGTGGTATTACACACTTGGTAAGTATAAGTTGTAAACTTAACATTCATAATTATTTTCCATCTATATATACTGTTTTCCATTTATGATGTTTTAACCTTTCAGCCTGCAGAATGTGAAAGAGTAGTCGCTGAAGCTTTACAACTTGCCAAAGACTCAGTTTTACTATCAGAGCAAAGGGAGACTCTATTACTTGATCCAGATGTTGTACAAAGGGATCTTAATAATCTAATTCAAAACATGTTACTTGGTTTTGTGGAGGTATGTGTCATGATAGAGGATGCAACAAAGTTTTTAGATGTATTTGTTGCTATAATTGCTATCTTTAATTTCAGGTTTTAGATAAATTAGCTCTTGGAAGTGATGCAATTGCTGGAGAATCTCCAGGAGTGTCTCAAATGATAGGATCACCAGCAATTTTTCAAGTTCGCGGCTCTGACTCAGTTCTTGACAAAGGAAGAGGCAAAGACAAAGAAAGTGGACCGGTATGTTTCAGTTTTTTACGTTTACCATTTTGCTTGTCAATCGACTCTTTCTCAGTTTGGTATTACTAACATAAATTTCTTTTTACAGGCCTGGGAACAACGTTTGTTGTGTGTACTTAGTAACATTGAGTATACACGGTCTATTCTTCTGCCCCGAATTGCTGATCTATTTGCCCGTTATCAGCTTCCTGCTCAAACTGGTCCATTGGCTGCTGTCAAGAAGGCCTTGACAGAACTGGATCAGAGAGTATTGGATGCATACCTTGAGCAACGGTCTGACCCATTAGTAGGGACTATTGAGCCTTCTATGTACATTGGCAACTTCAATTGGCATACTGCATTGAAGCCTATGGATGTTAGACCATATGTCAAAGAGCTTCTAACCAACCTTATCAGTGTTCATGCAGAGGTAAGGATCTAAACGCATCTTACAAAAAATCTTTATCTGTTTGAACATGAATTAGATACAATTTTCTGCAGGTGCACAGCATATCTCCTGGTTTAGTTTGGAGGGTCCTCCCTCAGTTGGTTGAAACAGTAGCTGAGGAACTTGCAAGGCTTATGGTTTGTTTGGACAAAAAGTTTAATGTTCATGGGACTCAGCAAGCATGTGCTGATATTGCAGCTATTCGTGAAGCCGTGACAGTCTACTCCACACCAACTGCTGAGTATGTGCTTTTCTGGTTTTGTTTGTGTTTAGAAATTCATAGGTTTTCTAGTCTCATTTTTATTTTACAGGGCGTTTTTTGAGGAAGCATTGGAAGCTATTCCACGATTAAGTGATGTCCAAGGGAAAAGGTAACTTGAAAGCTTGATAATGTTTATTATTCTATGGTCTTTTCATGGTCTTAAGTGTATGTTTTTACTGGATTTACAGAAATGTGGAGGATGTTTTGAATAACTTCAGATCAAGGATGCGACTTCAGCTATTGTGTTTCCGAGACCCTAAAACACCATCTACAAAATCTGTTTAATGTTTAATTGTTACTGTTAGACTTGCTATTAATTAATTTTAGTGATTCCATGTTACTACCATATGTCATCATTTTTACTGAACATTTCTGTAATTAATCATCCTCATTTCTTGCTGTTAAGTTCAATAGGAAATGCAACTTCATCCAAGGGGTACAGCGAATCTGTCTCGTAAAGAAGCTGTATGGCCCTGGGTTTTCTATGTGATAGTCAATCAATTATGATAGTTCTGATAGTTCTGTCAAAGTTTTTCATCCTTAGTAAATTAGATATGTATATGCATTGTATGATTGTGTTCAGATTCAGACCAGCGTGAAGGCCTTAGACAGCCATATCGTTATTTTCATTATATAATGTTATTTATGTAAATGTTGCAATAAATTTAATCTCACTGGTTAGATTTTTGATTTTGGGTCATCCTGCGAACATAGTGGAGGAGGAGATAGACTTGTAAACAATTCACTCAGGGTTTTATGTTGTTTTTTTGTTTTTTTAATTTAAGTGTAACACTATTTTCACATTATTCTTTCAAACAATTTTTTTTATCTAATAATATTTTTTTTTTAAATTAAATAAACTGGTCGTAGAAAGACAGGTACATGCTGTCAGGACGGAATGGGTTTCTTAATTCTATGCTTACTAATTATTAAACAGCTACAGAAAACAATTTGAAGTCAATGATCTGCACAATTTGAAAAAAATCACTTAAGCTCACTCTCACTGTTGCAATAGAAGGAAAGTAATTGTACATCACAAGCCAACAAAATTAGGTAGAGTGGCACATGTGATTTTAATTGGTAGCTGACAAGAAATTGTTTTCCAAAAGTAAAGCAGTTGAACAAAAATGAAAAAAAAAAAAATGAAATACAAAAATAAAATGAACAACAGAACACAAATTTGTAACAAATCATCTGGAAATGCGAACATTCTTTTAAAAATTCACGCAACGGGCGGCGATTCCTCTTGTCACACCGCGCTTCAGAGTGGCACTTATTCCAATGAGTATCACGAAAGTCGGAGAGTGTGTCTTCTCTCCACCTGCGGTGTGATCACGCATACGTTTGGGCGTTGGCCCCGTCTCCGTCGTGCGGCTCACGGGCACTGTCACATTTCAGCAGTCTCTGACAATATATATAAACTGGAGTCGAATCTGTCTTGCGTAGCTTTCAGTCTTGTATCGATTTCTCAATCCTCGAAAAGATCCCCATCATTTTCCCCCAAGGCCCCAGCCCGCCCTGCCACCACGGCGGGGCCTTCCCTCCCCTTCTCGAGGAGGTTGTACTGGTGGTGGTGGTGATGGTGGTCAGTGTGCCAACGCGTTACATTGCGCACGTTTCTCGTCCAAGTCAACGCTCACGGAGCTCGCGCGGGCCTCTCTTTACCACACTTCGCACTTCTTGGTGGGGTGCATGGAGCTGGCCACGGGGCAGTTGAAGTCCTTGGCGAAGTCCTCCTGGTTCGACATGGGTCCCCGTACTCTGAACTCACCCGGCGAGTGATACCTGCAAATACACACTTTCAAGATTACACCGTGTTTTCCGAAAGGATGCTAAACGTACACATCAGTATGGCGTAAGGTGCGTGATACCAAGTGGCCGATTCGCCTGCTTGCCGTACAGTACAACTTTGGATTTTATAGATCCAAAAATTTCCCGAAAAAGTTAGAAACTTTTCCAGAAAAAAATGGAAAAAAATAAAATCCGTCGGAAAAAATTAAGAGATTAAAAAAAGATTCTTGATAAATTACTCAGAGAAACTTCTCAAAAAAATTAAAATTCTTCAGACCGCCAACTACGAATGAGAATCAGCCACTTGACATACTAAAAATTTAGCACGGCAAAACAATGTCGGAAACACATCGAAAAGACACCGCGCTCTGACATGTATTTTGCCCGCGCCGGGACTGCATGGCAATAATCGCCCTGGCGCCGATGCTGCACCAGACTGTACCCACCCCGTGGTGATGCGGACGCGCAGGGCCTCGGGCCGGTACTTGGAGCACCAGCTGCTCGCGGCCGACACCCAGAAGAGCTGGCGGGGGTTGAGCGGCAGGCCGGGCAGGCGCGGCTCGGGCCCGTTGGCCTCGACCCACGTGTTGTAGGCGCGGTAGGCCTGCTTGATGCCGCCGTTGTCGGCGATGTTCTCGCCCTGCGTGTTGATGCCGTTGAGCTTGAGCGACACCTCCTTGGCCGTGTAGTTGCCGTACTGCTCGATGATGCAGCGCGCCTTCTCCAGGTAGCTCTTCTGCACCTCCTTGGCCCACCAGTCCACCAGGTTGCCGTCCTTGTCGAACTGGCGCCCCTGGTCGTCGAAGCCGTGGGTGATCTCGTGGCCGATGACGAACCCGATGGCGCCGTAGTTCATGTAGCGGGGCCGGTCGCTGGAAAAGAACGCCCCCTGCAGGATGCCGGCCGGGAACTCTGCAAGCCACCCGGGAGAAAAAAAAACATGAGCATCTGAAAGAATTCGGGATAATCCAGAAAGTACGTCATTTGCCCCTCCGAAACTGTCAAGTTTAGCTCATCCAAGCAGTCATAGCGCCTGATAGGTAGGCAACATCTTCCCTGCAGTGCATACGTGTACAGCGGGGTGGCCTACCCCGAGTCTCGCAGGCGCTGAGCTTGCGTAACTTGCCGAACGAATCCGAGAAAAACGGGCGGGGTCGTGCAGTGTCGGCACTTACGGATGCTGTTCTCGATGGAGCTGTAGAAGGCGTTGACGATGGCCGGTCTGCCGTGGGAGATCCACTCGGTCTTGTTCACCTTCTGGCGCAGGCGGTTGAACGAATAGTCTGTGCCGAACTTGGTAAGGTTGAGGATGCTCTCCAGGTACATGTCTTCGTTCACCTCGAGCTAAGAAAATGAAACCAACAACAGGGTGATGACTCTAATCTCGAAAGACGCTGGAAAATGATCCTGACGGTCACTTTTTTAATATAGTGTGGCGGCACTGACCCCTTCGTAGAATTTGTCCAGTTTGGAGTTATCCAGCAGCTCATCTGGGTAGGCAATGTGGTTCGTCATGGAGTACGCCTTCTCCAGGGCAGCTTGCCTGCAAGGCGAAAGAAAAGGGGATGAGCGCACTGCGGTCGCCAGCACCGCCCCGAGGGTAGGCAGCCCAAATCGCCGCTCGAGCAAAAAAAAACTGAAGAGCCTATTTAATAAAAGACGCTCTTTAGTTAAAAACCAACCTCGTGGCGTCATCCATCCAGGGCACCGACTTGAGCACCTTGTACATCTCCTGGCGGATGTTGTTGACCATCTCGAGGGCGGCGCGCTTCGAGTCCTCCTTGAAGTAGCGGCGCACGTAGAGGGAGCCGATGGAGAGCGACATGCTGCCGCTGGCCAGGTCGACGCACTCCTTCCAGCGGCTCTCGCGCTCCGTGCGGCCCGACAGCGCCGTGTAGAACTTGAGCTGGCGGTCGCGGACCGAGTCGTGCAGGTAGCTCAGGGTGGACGAGCAGGCGCGCCACAGCAGGTAGTTGGCGATGGTGCGCTTGGGCGTCATGGCGAGCAGCTTCTCCAGCTTGCTGAAGTACTCGGGCACGTCCACGATGATGACCTCGGAGTCGGAGAGCGTGATGGAGGCGGGCAGGATCTTTTCCATGTACTCCTTCCACGGGATGGACGGGTAGCGCTCCTGCAGCTCCGAGATCTTCATCGGGTTGTAGAGCTTGGTCGAGTTTCGTCGCTGCTCGTTGGGCAGGGAGATCTGCGGGCAGAAAGAGTGGCGATGTAAGTCGATCGACTATCGACACCCATCGAGGTAGTCGCCCGAACCACCGACGGTAAATCAGCTTACGTTGGCCATGTTGATTTCGAAGTTGACCACGTCAAGCATGTCCTTCTCTGCGACGGCCCGGTCGGCGCCGAAGATGACAGCGATGTCCACTTGGTACTTGTAGTACTCCTTGACGAGCTTGTCCTCCAAGCCCTTGTGCAGGTACTCGCGGCTGAGACCAAGCGACGCCTGGTCGATCTGTCGTAAAAAAGAAAAAAGAAATTTAAGTCAGTCAGTTTAGGGAAAGATTTGCAAGAGATCCGCGAGAGAACGTACGTCAATGACTCGCGACGTCGAGTTCTTGAGGTCGATGTTGATGGAAAAGTCAAATATGTAGTCGACGCTGAAGCCCTCCTTCCGGAACTTGTAGACAGCCTCCTTCCAGTCGAACTTCTCCTCGCTCCAGTCCTTTTCCAGGACGGGCCAACCTCCGAGCTTCTGGAGGATCTCCTTGGTGGGGGTGAGGCCGCGCTCCTCCACCAGGGCTGAGACGAGACAACGTCAGTTATAACCGCGGAAGAAAATAACAGTTACCGACAAAACTGCGACGGCCTCGCACAGTCGGGGTTAAAATCTTACTCTTGTTCATGCAGGCCTTGTAGAGCTTCTTGGCCACGCCGAACGACATGGGGTCGCTGCTGGTCATGGGCTCCTCGATCACGTTCCTCAGCTGCTCGGTGAGGTCGTCGTTGATCTTGGAGAAGGTGGTGATGCTCGTCTTGTCGTCCGGGATGTTGGTGGTGCGGATGAAGTTGCCGCACGCGTACTGGTAGAAGTCATCGCACGGGTCCACGTCCAGGTCCATGGTCTTGAGCAGGTACGAGGCTGGCCCGCGGGGATAGAGTGGAGTGGAGAGGGTTAGAACAGTGTAGTTGACGTGCAAAAGTATAGAGTCTCTTCTCCTGGCCGGTTATTTTCACATCACGCCGCGCGGCTCGACTCGACTCCGCTCGGCTCGGTGACGCAACCAGAGACGGGCTCCTCCAGATCATCGTCAATGATTATCGTCGACAAACAATGAACGCGCGAGTCGAGCCGAGCCGAGCAGGGCGACGGTATCGATCTCCTGCCCGTCATACTCACCGGCGTGGATGCATCCCTCGGTGAGGCACACGTCCTGGTTGGCGGGCTCGTTGGGCTTGGGGGTGGGTCCGGGGCCGCGGGACCTGGCGTCGGCGGCGCCTGCAGCGGGAGGGGGGCAACACACGACAAACCAAAGGTGAGGAGGAGGGTATGTGACGGCGGCGACCAGGAGGAGCAGCAGCAGCAGCAGCAGCAGAGCGCCTGCGGGGCCGACGCGGTCCCGGCCCGTCGCGCAGCCATGCGCCGCGGGCCTGCCTACCGGGCCAGGCGCTCACGGCCACGACGGCGGCGGCGGCACACTCGGCGGCACACACAAGGACCTCGACCGCCTCGGCCACGCGGCGCGCGCCGCGCACGCCCCCGGCCACGGGCTTGCGGTGCAAAGGTGCGAGGGAGGTGTGACCTGGCTTCGGTTTAGAGCGTAGACCGAACAGTCTGGTTACTGGTGAAAACCTGTAGTAACCTATTTAATGCTATCTATGCCTCCCTCGCACATTTGCGAAGCATGACGAATATGTTATTTATTATTATCATTTTGGAAAAGCTCTAAAGAGTGTTTTCTCGGGGATAGCTTGAAATACCGAGGAGCAAGGACGTGTAGCGCTTGATTTAAAGCAGCAGCAGTTTGTTCCAAAAACATGGTACTGCATTTTTAAAACACACAAAAAAACGCCGTGAAATTGATCCAGGATATTAAGGGCTTTAACACAGGCCTATGAAGAGGAAATTCATTAGCCGTGAATGGGAACTGATGTGACCCAACACACACTAGAGAGGGTATGTGTTGAGAGTTGTTGGCAGGTTCCCAAATGGGAAAATGATTGCTGTTTGGCTTTGGGTGACACAGTGGCACAGTTGTGCCCGTGCGGCCACGAGCCAGCATGCATATATGTACGCACAGAACAATAGTACAGCCTCCACCAAATGACTTATGGTGATAGGAGTTCGCTTGTTGAACAGTATTGATAAAGGGGAGGACAGTCAACGTGGTTAATGTTTGGTCCACACCGTGTGCCCCACCACCTCTCATCTCAAACACCATACACCTGAACATGCACCAGCACTCACGAATTCTAAACGACGATCCTACACCGACTCTCTTCCTCTCATTCTCACTCTCGTCATTTTCGTTTCCCTTACCCGCCATCCCCTCTCTTCACGCCGCTACGCGCCGGCTACCCTTACGCGTCCGCAATCAAGGAAACTCTCAAGACCGCAACCGTGAAAAGAGGAGGGGGGGGGGGGGGGGGGAAATCAGATTGTGATAAATGAGAACAAAAGACAGAGGGGAATAAGTTACCTCCCCTCGCACGCACACCTGCACCAGAGAAAGCACACCCATGGGCCATGCCATGCTAATCGTACCCCTGAACCATGTCCATACGTGACAGGTCTATGAAGTAGTGCACATCAGCGTGCCCGACCCAGAAAACGCTAAACAACAAAATTGAAATATGAGGACAGTCATATGGAAGTGAAAAAATGCTGTGGTGGTGGTGTTGGTGTGAAATGAAAAAAAGGAAAAATATAGTTCTACAAGAGTGGTCGAGCTACTAAAACAACAACAAAAATATAAGTTTAAATTAAATAAAAGAAATCCCACCTCCTGCAGCAGGACTCCTCCTGAACCTCTCGTGTGGCGCGCCGCCCTGGGCACCTGTCCCCCCCCCAAACCCTCACTCAAAAAAAATTACAATCAATCAAATCTTGGTTAGTCAGTTTTTGTGCTTCACTATAAATATCCATTTTCTCTAAAATTGAAAGCGTCCCACGTTTTCACCACATTATAAGGTGGCGGATGAACAATTTGTACAGCAGCGGTATTTGGTTAGTAATAATTTCAATTTCCACAGCTGGAGAAAATTATGAACCATCGAAAGGATGTCGATATGACTCCGATAACCGGGGAGGTATTAATGTCAGATCGACATCGTTTCCACACTGGTTTCTCTACACTGCAGTTTAAAGCGGCGGTAATACAAGGTTAGCGACGCGCATGCGCGGCAAGTCCCATGCATATAAGTGCTCTACACGTCCACAGGCCGACGACGAGCGCTGCGAAATCAAAATCAAGTGACGTCCGTCCCTTGCAGCAATAGATCTTTTCTGCCCCAACAGTCGCCTTTGCGCAGACAAGTTTACAACCGACGATATAACGACAACACGCCGCGTCCACCGCAAAGTCATAAAAAAATCCTCCGCGACAAATCAAGCGCGCTAATTTCCATAATAATGCCAGCGCGATAAAGACAAACGCAAGCCCCATTAGAACTAACCAACCTTGCGGTCAGTAGGCCAGTCTGAACTTTTCGGTTAATCGGAACCAAGTACGGGCAACAAAACTCCTCGCGCCCGTATCCTTGTTCACCACTCGTTTTTCCTTTCTTTTTTTCCTACAACACGCGGAGTTATCTTTTCAGGTCACAATAAAACGTGGACGGGGCGGGTAACATGAGGCTGCTTGTTCCGCAGGCCCGCCCCGCCCCGCTGCAGCTCGCAGCGATATCCGCAGTCCGTCCGGCGCCGCCCCGCCCCGCCCCGCCCCGCCTCGCTTTCGCCCAATACTATATATCTCCAGCACGCGGCCGGCCGGTGGGGCGAGCGAAACTGAACGGGTCGCGCTCTTTTGGATTCGAAAACCTGTCCGCGTTTCGAATATAACCCTCTCTACACGGGCGGAGGTACCGGGTCAGGCAGGCCCCCGGCGGCGGCGCCTGGGCCGGGCTTAGCAACAACTGCTGTAAACAGCAAGAGCGTAGGTGGAAGAGGTGGTATGCTCTGCGCCAGCTTCTCCGTGATCAACTTGTGATTTGAACACCCATTTAGTCTTTGCGGGAATGTATCCCTGGAGTAAAAACCACCCGTCTAACCCCGTCTATTTATCAACTGATTGTTTTTGTATGGAAAAAACATAGAAAAATTTTGCCCGCGAAAGTACTTAAACTGAAGGATAGAATCGTCGTTGGGAAAGGTAGTAGCAAAGTAGTAAACAAATACTACGCTTTTTTTTTTGTCCCCGCGCGATGTTTTCCTCTCTCGTCCTCGTCGCCCCGCTTTCTCAATGTTTATCACGAGTCGCGAGATTTTTCGAA